TGTATCTTTATTATTATCATTGTTTTTGGCATGCAACTACACCCTTGCAGCCATGCCAGCAGTGTGTGACAGATTTATGATAAAGTGCTGCATAGATGCACTGTTTGAATGTGTGTGTTAATGGGTGAATGACTAAACCACTGTAAAGCGCTGTGAGTGGTCATCAAGACTAAAAAAGCACTATATTAATACAGACCATTTATAGACAATTTACCATAATTGGCATCAAATTGTGGCCACAAGCCTCTTGTGTCTGAAAATGTGATCATCTAAGTGATTTAATGATTTAAACCTATCTTAATTGAAGGGTAACCATCAAGTTCTCATAGACTGCAATAGAAAGAGGTGACTGACTTTGCCCTCAGATTACCAGTCTTTAAACCTGCTCTGTCTTGATTTGTGTTTGGAATGTGGAAACATACTTAAAGATGTCATGCTCAGCTACTCAAGGTCTAACTAAGAATATCATTACAGCTAAAGAGTTTCACTTTAAGGAAAACATGCTTTTTTTACACTGTAATGTAAATAAGTATCTGTTTGTAGTACTTGCTCTACTTCCAGCATTGAAACGACTCTGTCACTCACAAAGCTTTATGGTGTTTGTACTTGATAAGTGCCAAATAAATTCTGAGGTTGTCCTTACTTCAAATGCAGCTTCCAGCAATCACACACATTGTCTTCCAGGAAATGCAAGTTCTAGATTGATATGTTCTCTCACTTACTTTGATTTTATCCTCAAATTTTGTTAATATAATGCCTGTTATGGCTGTCTGACTTCCAGGAGACCATGATGGATCACCCTTTGCGGACCATCTCCTATATTGCTGACATTGGCAACATCGTGGTTCTGATGGCCCGGCGCAGGATACCTCAACCTGAATCTCAGGAGAATGTTGAAGCCTCAGACCCGGGTCAAGAAAGCAAGCGCCAATACAAGATGATATGCCATGTATTTGAGTCTGAGGATGTAAGTCCAACAAAAAAGTTATATGATGTCTTTGCTTCTCAGGAGAGACCATATACAGTTGTTGTAATTTTGACAGTTTAATCAGCTGTTAAATGTCTACAATTTTTTCATAAAGATTTAGCCAATGATGAGATAACCTTAAGAAATGCTGGGCATATCCACCCTGTCCTCTAGGCCCAACTGATTGCACAATCCATTGGACAGGCCTTTAGTGTAGCTTACCAGGAATTCTTACGGGCTAATGATATTAACCCTGAGGACCTTAGCCAGAAGGAGTACAGCGACCTGCTCAACACTCAGGACATGTACAATGATGACCTTATCCACTTCTCCAAGTCTGAGAACTGCAAAGATGTAAGTAGGATATGTATTATTATAACAAGTTCATACAGGTTCTTTATACATAATTTTTCCTTTAGTTACCGCCATATTGTGCTGACAATAGAAAAAAAGTGAATGATCATCATCATTTACCATTGCTTCTGGTTCAACTATCAGATTCCAAAGGCTCTGCTATGTTTGCACCGTGAATCACATTATTATGAATACAACCTTGTACATAAAACAATGACCACTACATATATCACTGCACTCTTTTATAATATCTGTGTTTTGTATGTGAAATTGTAGTATCCAAAGTTTGCAGCAATATTACATTTGTTGTTTCTGCTTGCGCCCTGCCTGCTGTGAGCTCAGGTGTTCATAGAGAAAGCTAAAGGAGACATTCTGGGTGTTGTCATTGTGGAGAGTGGGTGGGGCTCCATCCTACCTACTGTCATCATTGCCAACATAATGCATGCTGGGCCGGCTGAGAGGTCTGGCAGACTGAACATAGGAGACCAGATCATGTCAATCAATGGAACCAGTCTGGTGGGACTGCCATTGTCCACCTGTCAGAGCATCATAAAGGTATGTGTATGAGGATCTTTTTAATGATGGTGAAACGAAAACATTGATAATGAAGTAGCATATATAACAGAGATACTGACAGGAAAACAACATGAAACAATTGTCTTGTCTAAAATCTCACCCTTGCAGTTACCTGTATATGGTATAAACCTAACCTCTTGGTCACTTAACACCACTGGCAATAGAATGAAGATAAAAAAAAGAATTGAAAGATGAAACTGCAGTAAAGATAAAAACAGGTGTGATCTCATCAGTTAGTTATAATTAAAAACTATGTGGCAGATATGTACAGAGAAAACTATCTAAAACAAGTCTATTTTTAACTAAAAGAGTTGTGTTTTCCTTGTAGCAGTCAAGTGCAATACCAGAAATTTTCTATCTCAACTTTTTGTAGGGTCTGAAGAACCAGTCTCAGCTCAAGCTCAACATAGTCAGATGTCCCCCAGTGACCACTGTTCTCATCAGACGTCCAGACCTCCGCTACCAGCTGGGCTTTAGTGTCCAGAATGGCATTGTGTGTAGTACTGTTTTATGTTAAATGAGACTTGCAGTTACAATACTTGAATGATATGACCCTATTTGATTGGTAATGTGAAATAATTTATTTGTCCCTTGACAGATTTGTAGCCTTATGCGTGGAGGCATTGCTGAACGAGGCGGGGTAAGAGTGGGTCACCGCATCATTGAAATCAACAGCCAGAGCGTGGTTGCCACGCCTCATGAAAAAATTGTTCACATCTTGTCCAATGCTGTAGGAGAGGTGAGGTATCACACAGAACAGAGAGATGTGATCTGGATCTTTTTACAGACTTGTTGAAGTTTGCAGATAAAATGTTTTACCAAAGCCCTTTGAATATTTCCCCTAAGTTGCTTCAAGTAGCTATCAATTGTCAAAGTGGCACTTACATGAATTTCTTCACTCTGTGGTCATATGGTTGCTAGAGCTATTAGCAGTGAATAACACAGCTCAGTAGCGGACCAGAAGAAACTGCATCAGATGTTTGCTAATTGGCTTTGAGGAAAGAACTAGGAAACAGTACAGTTATTGTGCTGTTCCGGGTGTCAGCAAAAAATCCGCTTTTTAACCCCTCCCAGTGCCCTTGTTACCATGGTAACCCCACAGCTCCTTACAGGAGTGAAATATAGTGCAAACACATAGTGCAAATCAAATACGGTGTATACCACAACCACATTCTTTGGTTAATTCTGTCTATCACTTATCTCCACCACAACGGAGCACGTTATAGGTCCAGTGTGTAAGATTTACGTGAAAGGGATATTTGGCCGATATTGAATATAAAATAATCCTAGTGATGTTTGCACTGGTGTGTAATCATCTAAATTGTATGAATTATTGTTTTCTTTACCATAGAATTGTCAGGGTTCAGTGGAGGGTGAGGTGAGATTGGGACAGGGAACAGACTCGGTAGGGAAAAAGGGAAGGGAAGGACCAAAACGCAGAAACTAAATATGGTTTAACAAAAAGTGTGTTTTATTTAAAAGGGGTAAACATAACAAAAGAAATCTTCAAGAAACAAAAGTCGCACTCAAAAACAGGAGTGGAACACAGGAAGGACAGGAAACAAACTTACGGGGAAACGTGACGAGAGCTGACGGGACACATGAACAGAACCAGAATCTAGATGACGGACAGGACCTGACCAGAAACGAAGATGACGTACCAACCACCACAAGGGGGGAACACAAAGACTTATATACACACTGGAACTAATTAGTAACTGGGGACAGGTGGCACAAGACAAACAGGTGAGCCTGATGAGGGCAGGAAGTCAATGAGTGAAAACACACAGGGAGCAAGGACTACAAAATAAAACAGGAAACACTGAACAAACTTATCAACGAGAACAAAATACAATAACCAAGACAGGGATGAACACAGGAGAGGCACAGGGTGAAACATAGCGAGGGACAAGGAGGGGAACACAGGAGAGGGACACAGAGAACAACACAGGAGAATCACAGGGTGGAACATAGCGAGGGACAAGGAGGG